AGTCGGCCTAAAGGCCTGCCATCATTAAATACTCCACATGTGTGCATTTAATGCCTAGTAGGCCATGATTGAATAAACCTCAACTCACATTTAGTACATGTTAGAACAAAGACGACCTGCTCTGTAGGATCAATGTGCGAAAAGACGGATGAACAGTGTCCGAACAACACCAAACTAGAATTGCTATAAATAGGAGACCCAACCTCTTTTATGGAGGTCGTTGATATCTTCAGCTACTACTTTCTCTCTCTAGAACTCTATGATAAATTCTCGTAAGAACATCAAGTGTAACGAAAGTACCGACCTTATTAGCCTCATTTTCTTGTATATCTTCCTTATCTTACTTTCTTATTATCATAAAATTTTATTTTAACCGTTGATCGGATCCGTCCATCAACATGTATGAATTATTATTTTATAATTATTATTATTATTATCTATTTATAGTCAAATTAAACTAAGTATAGTCTAATTTGTAAAGTTCTAAAATACGATATGGTACATAAAAGACCTCTGACCGATTGGGATCAACCTGCTCTTGAGCTCCTTCACCGGTTGAACGCCTTTAGAATTGCAAAAACTCTCACAGTGGAATGATTTTCCGATGAAGAGCATCCGATGCTTAAATGAGTATGTGTATAAGATGAATTGCAGAAAGTAAAGAGTATATGAACGTCATGCTAAAATTGCCCGTCTCACTCCTATTTATAGGCATGAGGTACCTGCTTCTAGAAGGCTGCCCAGATGTGGTGAGCTGGCTGCCCAGACTGCCCTAGCTGTCCGATAATACAATCCGAACAACCAGCTCCGGTTATGAGGCGTTGACCAATCAAGTGATGCCACTTGTCTTTGCCCATGTGCTGCATTAATTACCGCGAGATTCCTTTTTATTCTTTAACCTTTCGTATTAGACCGCCTAATGGTGTGACCAGCTCGAGGTATGCTGGAGTGGACTACTGATTGTTCTTAGCCCCAATATTGTCCTTTCTGGTCGATCATACGACCAATCATACCAACAGGTCGAGTCTCCGTCAGGTCATCTGAGGACCCTAGTTCGACCTGTTATTTTTGTCTTGCACGGCTGCATCCCTTACGTTGTCTTCCATATCGAAGGCTCTTAGTCCTGTACCGATGATGTTCGACAACCACGGACCCTAATGGCGATTCCACTTGACCAAGCTGCTTGCTCGGCCTAATTGCCCGATTTATTTCCTTAGGTATGGTATCCCATATCACGATAGTATTAAAAAGTTATAATAATTAATGTTGAAGAAAATATTTAAAAAAATATTCATTTTGGATTTAAGAATGATTTCAATCATTAAAGAAAAAATATTATTTACCTATTTGGGTGAAACTAGTGGGCCATAGGCCAAATTTATGTTACAAATGAGGGGAATCAATGGAAAACTCAGCAAATCTGTTATGCAACTTATTTACCACTCTCTCTCCCTTCTCCCTATTCTCTTTATTTCTCCCTCATTCTTTCTCTATATAACAGTTTGGTGCAAACTCGATCCCACATTAGAAAATTAAAGGTTCCAAGTTCAATATATAAGTTTGGTGGCTACTCTTTCTATTGCCAATTGGTTTTAGAATGAAACCCATTTGGGCTTGGTTGAGTTGCTGGTTCTAACAATTGGTATCAGAGCCACGGTAGCCCAGTTGCGATGCTAATGATGTGGCATGTTCCCCGTAGAGCCGGTTGAAATAAAATACTTAATAAATAAGATTTTTGCTTAATCCGATCCCCTCCAACTCCAAATTAAATAGGATTCTTATATGCCCCGTAAATTCTCCAACTCCAAAATAAATAGGATTCTTATCTTATATCCCGTGTAAATGAGATTTTTTTATTTATATAATTAATGTAAACAATAATTTTTTTATATAGTTTCAATTAAAAAATAAATAGGATTCTTATATCCCTGTAAATTCTCCAACTCCAAAATAAATAGGATTCTTATCTTATATCCCGTGTAAATAAGATTTTTTCATTTATATAATTAATGTAAATAATAATTTTTTTATATAGTTTCAATTAAAAAAAATACTATAATTTTACAAAAATAAATTAGACACATATATAGCCACTTAAATATTATATCGTTTCAATCCAACCATGGTAAATAAATTATTTAAATCTCCAACTCCAAAATAAATAGGATTCTTATTTATATCCCGTGTAAATAAGATTTTTTTATTTATATAATTAATGTAAACAATAAATTTTTTATATAGTTTAAATTAAAAAAAATACTATAATTTTACAAAAATAAATTAGACACATATAGCCACTTAAATATTATATCTTTTTAATCCAACCATAGTAAATAAATTATTTAAATCTTTTTAGAATATCTATAAAAATACATTGAAATAGTTATATAATATTACATGATATTTCTAATATATTTTAAAGAGCTGAAATAAAAATAAAATAAATTTTGATATTAGGATTCTTATATAATAAAAATTTAGACTTAATTCACGAAATACTAAAATAAAAAATTTAGATTTATATATTATTTTATTTATATACATAATATAAACAATAACTTTTTATATAGTTTAAATTAAAAAAATACTATAATTCTACAAAACTAAATTAGACACATATATAGCCACTTGCATATTATATTTTTAGAATATCTATAAAAATATATTGAAATAGTTATAGAATATTACATAATTTTTTTAATATATTTTAAAGAGTTGAAATAGTTAAAAAACAACATGTATTTTTTCTATTATTTGATGTTTTATATTTTTTTTTCAAACAACTTGTGTAATATACCAGTGTCTTACTAGTCTATATTAAATCACACCACTAACTAAATAAATGTGATGGCTCAATCGAATGCCACGTGGATCAAATCCAATGACCCACCCATGCGACCACTGGAATCTAAAATCAGCTGAGCCCCACACCTAACCTGGCTGGGCCCGCACTCGAACACACCCCAAACACAAACAATCGATCGATGAGGTGTTTGCTGCGGGCCCCACTAGTGGCAGTCTTCGTAATTTAACGGAATACACGGGTCAAATGGCTTTTATTACACGGGGGTAGAAAAAATATGTATGTTTTGCCGGGATGAAGTGGAGCCGATACTGTATCCTGCCAATCGCTTGCCGACAGCCATTATTGCTCTTTGAAACCTCATTTTTGTTGTACAGAACATGATAAAATCTTAATTAATCGAATATAAATACGTGAAAAATCGTTACAGGATTAAAATAACTACTTGGAACATGAACCTGATATTTTGTCTACCTATACTTAGAAATAAAATTAACTATATTTAGGTAACTAAACTTGTAAATAAGCCATGTTGAATAATTTGATTGTTTTGTTAAGAAATAAATGATATTTTGGACAGAAAATTAAACTAGGATTGGATAAAAACTACTTTTTTTTTTCAGCCAAGATTTATGTTATTGAGATGAAAGTAAAACATTATTTTACAAAATGTATTTATTTTAGTTGGCCCTTTTATCTACCATTCTCACTAATACAATTGAAAAATAAAAATCAATTATTAATATATATTTTTTTAATAAAAATACCATTCATTAACTCATATATTTATATCAATCTATCTTATCAATCAATATTTTATATCGAATTAACTTTAATTATTATTATTATTTTTTCTCTCATAGCATTCACACTTTTAAATTTATCTCATGTTTTTTAATATAATTTTTTTCTACTCTTTTCGTCTCACTTTTTGGGCAAAATTTTTGTTTTAAGTTTTTCCTATACAATCTGATGTACCTTTTTCAAATTTGATTACAACACTATCAAAGTCCAAAATAAAAACCTACTAAGATTACCACTTTATCTACAAATATTTGTTCAAGTGATTTGTTCACATATCCTATATTTGTTCTTTTCTTGTTTTGATTTTAATTAAATATTACTAGATTGCCTTTAATCACTAATTATTCAATTACTAGAGTCATCAAAATGTAAAAGATTATTGTTTTCACACATATCTGATTGTAACAATATTTCAAGCTAAATTGTCATGTGAGTAATATTATATGTTTAGATAAAATCATAATTGAACTTTGAAAAATTCAGCACTCAGCAGAAACCTCAAATAAATTAGATTTAGCAAATCTTGAATATTGAAGAAATTTGTAATAGAGTTGCTAGCATTATGTTTTACCCACCATTAGATATTCAAAAAGTCAAATTTCAGGCGTGTGATCAAATTCATTGGATGTTAGTTCATTCCACATTTGAGTACTGTACCCATTAATTATCTCAAATTATAAACAAATATTCATTATTAACACGAAGAAGTAATAAAAATATTAATATTAATATATGAGAGCTAATTAAAACGTTTAGTACATAGAAGAGTTAAAAAAATAATATACTATTTTAAATTTTTAAAAATTTATTAAAATATATAATTTTATGTATATGCAATAGAAATATCAAATAAAAAATAAAAAATAATAATTTATTTGATATATTATATATGAAAACATAATTAAGTTAATTAATTAAATTATAATTTAAAAAATTATAATTATCATAAAATTCATATCTAAATTTTGAAGCACCAAATGAGGACGTATGACATTTGAAGCACCTGCAGCCAGACTGGTACTTTTGAAAAGTTCTATATTTATAGAAATGGATATTTAAATAAAATCAAACAATGGAAAACAATTAATAAAAATAAAAGTATAAAACACACACGCGACGAAATGTGAGACTTTTCCCCAAAGACTTGAAAAAATTGACCCACCACCCAATTTTTTCCGCCATGAAAATACCGTCAACCAAACCTCGAACCATAGTTAACCTGTCTATTAACCACAGTTTGGTTATCATTAGTCACCACTCACCACTGACCTTTCTCCCACACACACTGTTGGTGTGCGGTGAAAAAGGAGACAACCAAACCTAGGTTCAGTGAAAAACACACTCACAATTAATGACTGAATATAATAATATAATACTTACAAAGAGAGAGAGAGAGAGAGAGAGAGAGGCGCGTCTATTAAGCTGTTCCTGGGGTGGTCTTGGTCGCCGGTTTCTCTCTCATCTTCCCCTTTCCCCTAACCCTCCTCTGATTTTCATTTATTGTGAGAGAAAGTGAGAGTTTCTGCTGTTTTCTGCTGGGTTTTGTTATCACGATTTGAAGAAGGCGATTGAGTGTAACAGTTATTGTGGCGATTGGTGTTATCATTATCCGTCCTTTTGTACGAAGACTTTAATTGAGAATTAGAGGTTAGATTTCTTCGCGCACTAGTGAAGTCATGGCGAGCAGGGTTTCGTTTGGTCAGCAACAGCAGAACAGTAATTTTTCGGGTCAAGGTCATCCCTTTGTGGAATTTTCTGTCCATCGATATGCTTGTGTAATCTTTTTCCGTTGTTTGATTTTGAAGGGTTTGTTCTGAGTTATTGTTTTGTTCGTTTATTTCGTGATTTTTCAGGAAATGGTGTAAAAGATGCTCTGTATGAAGAGTTATGGAAGGCCTGCGCAGGTCCTTTGGTGGATGTTCCTAAGGTTGGAGAAAGGGTTTATTATTTCCCACAAGGCCACATGGAACAAGTGAGTTGTGTTCTAATGTTGATTTTTCTCTGTTTTGTTTTGTTTTTGTTTTGTTTTGTTTTTTGTTTTTTTTTTTTTTTTT